ACTCTTTCCTTTTTCTAATCAATCGTTACTGATATGCAACAGTTATTAGCAATAAAATGTTCAGAGAATTAACTCCAAATAGCGACACGATCCCTAACCACACAGGAGAAGGCAGTAACACTCAAACGTTCATATCCCACTACAAAGTTAAGTGTTTAATGTTTAGTCATGGCTCGCTGCAGATTTTTCATGTTTCCCTTTAGCCCACATTTTTCCCATCGAGCCTCAGATTTTTTTTCTGCCTTCAGATCAAAGACTTTCTGAGAAAAGCAAGACCAGTCACCTCTCCTCCAAATGCCTTTGGTGAAATTTGGGACTAGAGTCCTATTTAAAGACAAATCACGCAGAAATGGTTAATAAATCGGATTTTTAAAAAAGTGTCACATAAGGTTAACATGACACCAAGTTTAAACTTCATAAGTGTCATTTATCTTGCCTGCCAAAGATTGACAGATCTTTGGCTTATTTCCAGGAATCGTGACAAAGCCGACTGGCGCTATAAAGCCAGGGCTTTCACCCACTCCAGCTTCAGTCTTAAACATTCCTCAACTTTACCTGTCAAGCGATTCACTCTGAAATCATGGCCAAGGACATGACTCTGCTGTGGGGCTCCGGATCTCCTCCCTGCTGGAGGATAATGATCACTCTGGAGGAGAAGAACCTGCAAGGATACAACCAAAAACTGCTCTCCTTTGAGAAGGGGGAGCACAAGTCAAAAGAAGTCATGGAGATCAACCCCAGGGGTCAGGTAGGTTCATATCACACTATGTAAACACTCATATCTGAAATCTGCATTTGTTTTCCTGAAATTGAGAAAAAGGAGTATTCACTTGGCATTCACAAAGTGTTTATGGTTTGCACTGTCTCTTAAAGCTTCCTGCCTTCAAATGTGGGGATGTACCCCTCAACGAGTCCTGTGCTGCATGCTTTCATCTGGAGGTGAGAACTCAAATGAATCTGAATGTTATGTCTCCACAGAGTTTCTAGTTTGGAGAACTACTTGTGATTATATGTTAAACAATGCGTTGTAGAAACAGACACCCCACACCACAGAGGTAAAAAAACTAGGAAATTAAAAAAAATAATTAATGTCTCCTCCAACAGTGCAAGTACAAGACGCAGGGAACCAAGCTGATCCCCGACTGCGAGGTTGGGAGAGCGCAGATATTGCAGCGTGTGTTTGAGGTTAACGCGCTCACTGAGAAATCATGTAAGTTTGTTCTGACGCACTTCTGATCCTGAACTCTCTTCATCACAGTGTGTGTACCCCGAACAACGTTAGAACCACAGGGATTTAGTGAGTCTGTAAAGGATATATCAAGGCTGCTAAATCTCTTTCTGTGTGGCCTGGCTGATGTTGTCATTCAGAGGTCTGTGCTCTGGGATTTTGAACTGCTGAACTTGGCAACACTAAAAACCCATGTTGATGTTTGTTAATCCTGCCAGTGATCACATGCTCAGCCAAGATTTTGCATGTAAAGTAATTGGCTTGTCATGAGATTTGGCACTTTAGCACCTTGGCACAATATAAAATTCAGTTTTTTGCTTTTTACACATTTCCAGCAATTGTTCTCTACTACAACTGGATGGTCCCAGAGGGAGAGAGACACGACTCTGCCGTTAAGAGAAACAAAGAGGCTCTGACCGCTGAGTTGAAGCTGTGGGAGGGATACCTGCAGGTGTGTGAATGACCTGTGTGCACGCGATCTCAACGACTAAACTAAACCCAGAATACAAACGTTGGAAAGCCACAGGAGTAGATTGTAAACCTTGCCAGAAATAAGCTGGTCCATAAATTTCTTTTTA